GGGCGGTGGGAGGCCGGGGGTTTGTGTGGTAGCTGGGAGCCGGGCAGCAAACCTTTTGTGGCACCACAAGGCAGCACCAGGGCAAGGCCGGAAAAAGAAAAAGAGAAAGGAGGAAGTAGCAAGTTTGCAGCTCGCTCTTTCTGGGTGTGCACTGGGGCATTTGGGAATTACCTTCTGGGATTGCAAATGATGCCCCTTTTCAGTCATGCTACAATCTCCTTGAGGTTTCATCTGCAAGGCTGCAATGAGCTGATTTCAGTGGGCACCAGCAGAATCTTCTCCTCCCTCCAGCTCCTACTCTCAATGCCCTATCTCCTGACATGGATGTGTTTGCTTTTTTGGGGCTAAGCCAGTAGAGAGAGCTTAAATTGGATGAAATTATCCTGCTTGGGAGGAAGTGGGCAAGCAGTAATTGCAACAACTTTGCTGTCAAGATGCTGCAGACTGCAGCCAAAACTAAAATCCTTAGAGAGGTGTAAATCCTCTGTTCACCCTGGGGACAGGAAGAGTGGCAGGCTAGGCTGCAGCCCGAGCCCATTGCTCCAGCCCTGGAGCAGGGCAAGAGTCCAGTCCCTCGAAGCCATCCAGTCCTCCATGTCTCTGCAACCTTTCCAGCATGAGAATACTGCTTTTGACTCTATTACCAGCAAAAAGAGACAAACGTGAGACCCCCAGTGACTTCTAGCTCAACATAACCTCATTCCTACATGATCTTTCCTTTCTTACATGTCCAACTAAGAATCAGTGCTATCAGTGGAGATGAATGTATGTGCAATGCATCATTACGGAGCTAACTCTGTATCCCTGCTGTGACCGGTGGGGCAGGGTGAGAAGTGCTATTTGTGGCAAAACTGGGGATAAGTTGGGATTTGGCACCTGGCAGTGGTTTTCTGCCAGCCATAGCAGCAGTGGCTGGGGGTGTCCATGCCGTGGCATCTGAGCTGGGCTGGGCTGGGCTGGGCTGTCCGTCCACAGAGCAGCTCCGCAGCCCCCTGACACAGTGATGCTGCTGGGGCTGTTGCAAAGCAAATCCCTGCCTGGAGCTTGCTGGTGTTGCTTCACGGCTGCCTGCTTCGGAGTGCCATCAGGGCTCTGGCCGCAGAGCTTCGTGCCCCAGCCCGGCTCACGGCCGGTGGGGTCCTTGCAGCAGCGGCAGGGTCGGTGTCGTGGGGGTTTGGGCTCCGGCCGGTCCCCACTGGGAACCCAAATGGAATCTGAAAGTCGCAGCCCCGTGGCTGGCGCTTCCCCTTCTGTGGTTTCCTTGTCTTCTCCAGCTCAGCAAAACTGGGTGATCCTGACATAATTTCCCCGGTATGATGCACTCATTTTTTCTTTCCTTGAAACCCTGTGCCCACCCAGCGGCCGGGGATAAAAGGAGGGCATCACCACAGGGGCCGAGCATCGTGCAGAGGAGAGCCCTGCAGCCCCCCCAGCTCCAGCCCTGCTTGCAGATCCCTCGGCCCCTGCAGCACCATGAAGGTCCCCGCAGCCGCCCTGGTCGCTCTCCTCCTCCCTCTGGCGGGGGGCCTGGAGTGTGGGCCGGCGCAACAGGGGGCACGGCAAGGGGCAGGGAGATGATGAGCACAACAAGCCGATGCCAGAGTCCCTCCCTGCCCGGATCACAGCCCCGCGCCTGTCCCCAGGTCCCAGGTGGCTGTGGTGGCCTCGTGGCCCTGGGGACCCTGTCCCCACTTGAACCACTCACTTGAACTCCCCAAAGAACTGGGAGACGCAGCCCTGCTCGCTGCCGCAGGGGAAGTGGAAAATTTCGGGGCCGGCCCTGGCAGGTGACCGAGGTGCCCCGCAGGTGGCAGATGCAGCACCTCTGGAGATGGCACGGAGGTGGACAGCATCAGCGCTGCGCGTCTCTGGGGAGCCCCTAGTAGTAGGGGGCTAGTAGTAGTAGTAGTAGCAGTAGCTCCAGCTCCTACTCTTAATGCCCTATCTCCTGACATGGATGTGTTTGCTTTTTTGGGGCTAAGCCAGTGTAGAGAGATTAAATTGGATGAAATTTTCCTGCTTGGGAGGAAGTGGGCAAGCAGTAATTGCAACAACTTGACTGTCAAGATGCTGCAGACTGCAGCCAAAACTAAAATCCTTAGAGAGGTGTAAATCCTCTGTTCACCTAGAGGGTGCCTCGCGCGCCTTGTTCCAGCCCTGGAGCAGGGCACGAGAGTCCAGTCCCTCGAAGCCATCCAGTCCTCCATGTCTCTGCAACCTTTCCAGCATGAGAATACTGCTTTTGACTCTATTACCAGCAAAAAGAGACAAACGTGAGACCCCCAGTGACTTCTAGCTCAACATAACCTCATTCCTACATGATCTTTCCTTTCTTACATGTCCAACTAAGAATCAGTGCTATCAGTGGAGATGAATGTATGTGCAATGCATCATTACGGAGCTAACTCTGTATCCCTGCTGTGACCGGTGGGGCAGGGTGAGAAGTGCTATTTGTGGCAAAACTGGGGATAAGTTGGGATTTGGCACCTGGCAGTGGTTTTCTGCCAGCCATAGCAGCAGTGGCTGGGGGTGTCCATGCCGTGGCATCTGAGCTGGGCTGGGCTGGGCTGGGCTGTCCGTCCACAGAGCAGCTCCGCAGCCCCCTGACACAGTGATGCTGCTGGGGCTGTTGCAAAGCAAATCCCTGCCTGGAGCTTGCTGGTGTTGCTTCACGGCTGCCTGCTTCGGAGTGCCATCAGGGCTCTGGCCGCAGAGCTTCGTGCCCCAGCCCGGCTCACGGCCGGTGGGGTCCTTGCAGCAGCGGCAGGGTCGGTGTCGTGGGGGTTTGGGCTCCGGCCGGTCCCCACTGGGAACCCAAATGGAATCTGAAAGTCGCAGCCCCGTGGCTGGCGCTTCCCCTTCTGTGGTTTCCTTGTCTTCTCCAGCTCAGCAAAACTGGGTGATCCTGACATAATTTCCCCGGTATGATGCACTCATTTTTTCTTTCCTTGAAACCCTGTGCCCACCCAGCGGCCGGGGATAAAAGGAGGGCATCACCACAGGGGCCGAGCATCGTGCAGAGGAGAGCCCTGCAGCCCCCCCAGCTCCAGCCCTGCTTGCAGATCCCTCGGCCCCTGCAGCACCATGAAGGTCCCCGCAGCCGCCCTGGTCGCTCTCCTCCTCATGGCCACCTGCTCCCCGTGCGAGGCCCATCTCGGTGAGTCCGGCATCGCTGCGTCCTCCCCGGGGCTGGGTGTGCCATCGCTCCACGGGAGCTGCCGGGGCAGCCGGAGAGCCCCATCCCCGTCAGCGGGCACCCTCGTGGCTGTGGGGAGGGCTGGGAGCAGGAGACTACCGCCAATGCTGGGACTTAGGCTTGGGGCAGGGGTCTCCTGGGGGGCCACAGCCAGGGAATATGACACAAGGTGGGGACGGGAGATGGCAAATCCCTGGGGAACCCCAAGCGCCGGTGGGGCCAGAGCCTGTGCTGTAGGCTGGGGTCTCACCAGGGCTGTCTGTCTCTCTGCTCTCACAGACGGCGTCCCCACCGCCTGCTGCTTCAGTTACCAGCAACGCCCTGTCCCGCGGGGCCTCATCACCTCTGCGTACATCACCAGCAGCAGCTGCACCCAGCCAGGGGTGATGTGAGTATCCACCACTGTGGGGGGCTCAGGGTGCGATGGCTGGGGCAGAGGGTGGCCGGGAGAGGGATGGGGATGTGGCCGGGGACACCCGGGGCGCTGCTGGCAGGACCCAGCGCAGGCACCCCGCTGCCCCGGCCGAGCACCCCAACACAGCGTTTGTCCCGGCAGCCTGGTCACCAAGAAGAAGAAGGAGCTGTGCGCGGACCCCCAGGCGCCCTGGGTGCAGGCGCATCTGAAGCACTTCCAGACCCTGAAGAACTGACCCTTCCCTGCTGCCAGTCATGATGCCCCTGGTGCTACCCCCAGCAGGCTTGGCTTCCAGCCCCAGGCACGCAAGAGAGTACTTGAACTGCAGCCTTCTTCAACGGGAAAATTTATTCTATTTAACTTATTTAAGTTAAACTAAATATATTTTGCTAAGAAAAGGGAAAATACAAAAATAATTTAAACTATATCAATGTGCCTGTTAATGAAGAGTCAGGACTTTTGATGCCTAAATAAAGTGTTTGTGCTATAAACCCCTTTGGGTGTCTCCCAAGTCCTTGCTGGAGCCCTGACACGGGGACCCCCTTGTCCTCCCCACACCCTGAGTTCGCTGCTCCCCCCCCGGGCAGGGTGACCTTGGCCCCATGGCAGCTCCCATGTTGCTTCCCCCTCCCCAGCCCGGGTTCAGCTACGGTGCCACCCAGCATGTCCCCACGGTGTAACACCAGCACCTCACATGGGGCTGCCAGTGCCGGCTCTTATTTGGGAAATGGCCTGGCAGCACCCGCGGTGCAAACAGGAGGGCCAGGGCCACCGCGGAGGCTCTTGCCCTGCAGTGCTCAGGCACATCAGCAAACGCACGTGTGAAGAT